CATGCCATATCCCAATCTTTCATACAGACTCAACTTATCCCCCCCGCCCTTCCTTATACATGATTCTGTTCTAAATGCCGTCATATCTCCATCCTTCACTTAGAACACCTGTTCATATGAGAATTCCTGTTCAACTAGAACACCCCCCCCTGTTCTGACTTATCCCCGCCTTCATATACAGAATTCATTCTATGAATGTCAAAATGCGTCATATCTCCATCCTTCATAGAACACCTGTTCCATGAAGAGACCCAACTATCCGCCACCCCTTCTATACAGAATTCCTGTTCCCATGAGAGTCAAATGTTGCATATCCCAGTCTTTCAGTAGAACACCTGTTCTATGAGACTCAACTTATCCCCTGCCCTTCATATACAGAATTCTGTTCTATGAATGTCAAATGCACGTCATCTCCATCCTTCACAGAACACCTGTTCCATGAGACCCAACTATCCGCCACCCTTCTGTATAGAATTCCTGTTCTGCCAGAGAGTCAAAATGCCGCATTATCCCAATCTTTCATAGAACACCTGTTCAATGAGACTCAACTTATCCCCGCCCTTCATATACAGAATTCCTGTTCTATGAATGTCAAGTCATGATTCCATCCTCACAGAACACCTGTTCCATGAGACCCAACCATCCGCCACCCTTCTATACAGAATTCCTCAAGGTTCTATGAGAGTCAAATGCATATCACATATCCTTTCATAAAACACCTGTTCTAAGGAGACTCAACTTATCCCCGCCCTTCATATACAGAATTCCTGTTCTGTAGATATCAAATGCGTCACATCTCCATCCTTCATAGAACACCTGTTCCATGAGACCCAACTATCCGCCACCCCTTCTATACAGAATTCCTGTTCTATGAGAGAGTCAAATGTCCATATCCCAATCTTTCCATAGGAACACCCTGTTCTGAGACTCAACTTCATCCCCCGCCCTTCATATAGAATCTGTTCTATGAGATATCAAATGCGTCATATCTCCATCCTTCATAGAACACCTGTTCCATGAGAGAAAACTATCCCACACCCCTTCTATACAGAATTCCTGTTCTATGAGAGTCAATGCCGTATATCAATCTTTCATAGAACACCTGTTCTATAAACTTAAATCATCCCCTGCCCTTCATATACAGAATTCCCTGTTCTATGAATGTCAAATGCATCACATCTCCATCCTTCACAAAACACCTGTTCCATGAGACCCAACTATCCGCCACCCCTTCATATACAGAAATCCTGTTCTATGAGAGTCAAATACACATATTATCCCAATCTTCAGAACACCTGTTCTATGAGACTCAACTTATCCCCTGCCCTTCATATACAGAATTCCTGTTCTAGGAATGTCAAATACGTCATCCTCCATCCTTCATAGAACACCTGTTCCATGAGACCCAACTATCCGCCACCTCTTATACAGAATTCCTGTTCTATGAGGAGTCCAAATGCCACATATCCCAATCTTTCTTAGAACACCTGTTCTATGAGACTCCTTATCCCCGCCCTTTCCATGCAAATTCCTGTTCTATGAATGTCAAATGCATCACATCTCCATCCATCCAGAACACTGTTCCATGAGACCCAACTATCCGCCACCCTTCATACAGAATTCCTGTTCTATGAGAGTCAAAATGCACATGTCCCAATCTTCTGTTAGAACACCTGTTCTGTGAGACTCAACTTATCCCCGCCTTCATATACAGAATTCCTGTTCTGTGAATGTCAAATGCGTCACATCTACATCCTTCAGAACACCTGTTCAAGGAGACCCAACCTCCACCACCCCTTCTATACAGTAGAATTCTGTTCTATGAGAGTCAAATGCCGTATTATCCTGAATCTTTCATAGAACACCTGTTCATGAGACTCAACTTATCCTGCCCTTCATATACAGAATTCTGTTCTATGAATGTCAAATGCGTCACATCTCCATCCCCAGAAGATTTTGTCCCATGAGACCCAACTATCCGCCACCCCTTTTATAGAATTCTGTTCTATGAGAGTCAAATGCTATATCCTATCATAGAACACCCTGTTCCATAATCCTTTCATAGAACACCTGTTCTATGAATGTCAAATCACATTCCATCCCTTCATAGAACACCTGTTCCATGAGACCTAACCATCCGCCACCCTTCATATACAGAATTGTTCTATGAGAGTCAAAATGCGTCTAATCTTCTCCATCCTTCACAGAACTACCATATATACAGAATTCCTGTTCAGAAATGTCAAAGACCCAGAAACCTGTTCCATGAGAGACACCATCTCGCCACCTTCTATATAGAATTCCTGTTCTAAGAGAGTCAAATGCCGCATATCCCAATCTTTCATAGAACACCTGTTCATGAGAGACTCAACTTATCCCCGCCCTTCTTATACAGAATTCTGTTCTATGAATGTCAAATGCGTCACATCTCATCCTTCATAGAACACCTGTTCCATGAGAACCAACTATCCGCCACCCCTTCTATACAGAATTCCTGTTCTGAGAGTCAAATGCCCATATCCCAATCTTCATAGAACACCTGTTCTATGAGACTCAATCTTATCCCGCCCTCTATATACAGAAATTCTGTTTATGAATGTCCAAATGCGTCACATCTCATCCTTCACAGAACACCTGTTCCATGAGACCCAACTATCCGCCACCCCTTCTATACAGAATTCCCTGTTCTGTAGAGTCAAAATGCCACATATCTCTAATCTTTCACTTAGAACACCTGTTCTATGAGACTCAACTTATCCCCTGCCATATATATAGAATTCTGTTCTATGAATGTCAAATGCGTCACATCTCCATCCTTCATAGAACACCTGTTCCATGAGACCCAACTATCCACACCCTTCATGCAATTCCTGTTCCCAGAGAATCAAAAATGCCATATCCCAATCTTTCATAGAACACCTGTTCTATGAGACTCAGCTTATCCCCCGCCCTTCATATACAGAATTCACTGTTCTATGAATGTCAAATGCGTCACATCTCCATCCTCACAGAACACCTGTTCCATGAGACCCAACTTATCCGCCACCCTTCTATACAGAATTCCTGTTCTATGGGAGTCAAATGTACATGGTCCCAATCTTTTCATAGAACACCTGTTCCATGAGACTCAACTTATCCCCCCGCCCTTCATATACAGAATTCTGTTCTATGAAATGTCAAATGCGTCACATCTTCCTTCACAGAACACCTGTTCCATGAGACCCAACTATCCGCCACCCCTTCTATACAGAATTCTTGTTCTACAGGAGTCAAATGCCAATATATCCTGAACACCTTTCATACTCAACACCTAAATTCTATGAATGTCAAATGCATCCACATCTCCATCCTTCACCAGACACCCCCATAGGGCCAACTATCACTCCCCTTCTATATAGAATTCCCTGTTTCTGGGAGTGGAATATCCCAAATGCGTCACATCCCCCCGCCCTTCCATTCCTGTTCTGTATGTCAAATGCCATCTCCACACCTGTTCCATGAGACCCAACTCATCCGCCTCCCTTCCTATACAGAATTCTGTTCTAGAGAGTCAAATGCCATATCCCAATCTTTCATAGAACACCCTGTTCTAGGAGAGACTCCAACTTATCCCCCCGCCCTTCATATACAGAATTCTGTTCTATGAAATCAAATGCGTCATATCTCCATCCCCTTCATAGGAACACCTGTTCCAAGGAGACCCAACTATAACCACCCCTTCTATACAGGAATTCCATTCTATGAGAGTCAAATACCGCATATCCCAATCTTTTCATAGAACACCTGTTCTATGAGACTCAACTTATCCCCCGCCCTTCATATTCAGAATTCCTGTTCTATGAATGTCCAAATGCATCACATCTCCATCCTTCATAGAACACCTGTTCCATGAGACCCATCCTATCCTTCCAATTCCCCTTCTATACACAGAATTCCCAATCTTTGAACTACCCCTGTTCTGTGAGAGTCAAATGCTGATATCAAATGCGTCAATCTCCTTCATAGAACACCCTGTTCTATGAGACTCAACCTTGATCCACCTTCTGTACCCCTTCTTATATACAGAATTCCTGTTCTAAGGAACCTGTTCAAATGAGACTCAACTTATCCCCCATCCTTCATATAGAATTCCTGTTCCATGAGATCACATCTCCATCCTTCCACCCCTCTCCATGAGACCAATTCCCACCCCTTCTGTAAATTCCTGTTCCATGAGAATCAAATGCCAGATATCCTAATCTTTCTTAGAACACCTGTTCTATGAGACTCAACATCCCGGCCCCTTCATATACAGAATTCCTGTTCTATGAATATCCAAATGCGTCCATATCTCCATCCTTCATAGAACACCTGTTCCATGAGACCCAACTATCCGCCACAGAATTCTGTTCTATGAGAGTCAAATGCCGCATATCCCAATCTTAGAACACCTGTTCTATGAGATTCCTCAAATGTCGATCGTCACATCTCCATCTCCAGAAACCTGTTTCTATCCGCCACCCTTCTGCTAGAATTCCCTGTTCTATGCGAGAGAGTCAAATGCCGCCTCTTATCTTTCCATAGAACACCCTCAGGACTCACTTTATCCCCGCCCATGAATTCCTGTTCTATGAATGTCAAATGCGTCACATCTCATCCTTCACAGAACAACCTGTTCCATGAGACCTAAATTCATCCGCCACCCCTTCTATACAGTTAAATTTGTTGTTCTAAGGAGAGTCAAAATGCCATATATCCCAATCTTTCATAGAACACTGTTCTGAGACCTCAACTTATCCCCCACCCTTCATATGGGCTGGAATTCTGTTCTGTGAATGTCAAATCGTCACATCTCCATCCTTCATAGAACACCTGTTCCATGAGACCCAACCATCCGCTTTCACCCTTCTATACAGAATTCTGTTCTATGAGAGTCAAATGCCATATCCTAATCTTTCATAGAACACCTGTTCTATGAGACTCAACTTATCCCCCCCCTTCATATACAGAATTCCTGTTCTATGAATGTCAAATGTGTCACATCTCCATCCTTCATAGAACACCCTTGTTCCATGAGACCCAACCTCCGCCACCCCTTCATACAAATTCCTGTTCTGAGAAGTCAAATGCCGCATATCCCAATCTTTCATAGGATTACCTGTTCTATGAGACCCAACTTATCCCCCGCCCTTCCTTACAGAATTCCCCTGTTCTATGAATGTCAAATGCGTCACATCTCCATCCTTCACAGAACACCTGTTCCATGAGACCAACCATCCGCCACCCTTCCATACAGAATTCCTGTTCTACAGAGTCAAATGCCATATCCCAATCTTTCATAGAACACCTGTTCTATGAGACTCAACTTATCCCCCTGCCCTTCATATACAGAATTCCTGTTCTATGAATATCAAATGCGTCACATCTCCATCCTTCTTAGAACACCTGTTCCATGAGACCCAACCATCCGCCACCCTTCTATACAGAATTCCTGTTCAAGGAGAATCAAATGCCCATATCCCAATCTTTCATAGAACACCTGTTCTATGAGACTAACTTATCCCCTGCCCTTCATATACAGAATTCTGTTCTATGAATGTCAAATGCGTCACATCTCCATCCTTCATAGAACACCTGTTCCATGAGACCCAACTATCCGCCACCCCCTTCTATACAGAATTCACACTGTTCTATGAGAGTCAAAATGCCACATATCCCAATCTTTCATAGAACACCTGTTCTATGAGACTCAACTTATCCCCGCCCTTCATATACAGAATTCTGTTCTATGAATGTCAAATGCGTCATATCTCCATCCTTCAGAACACCTGTTCCATGGACCCAACTATCCGCCACCCCTTCTATACAGAATTCCTGTTCTATGAGAGTCAAATGCCCATATCCCAATCTTTCATAGAACACCTGTTCTATGAGACTCAACTTATCCCCGCCCTTCATATACAGAATTCCTGTTCTATGAATGTCAAATGCGTCACATCTCCATCCTTCATAGAACACCTGTTCCATGAGACCCAACTATCCGCCACCCCTTCTACAGAATTCCTGTTCTATGAGAGTCAAATGCCACATATCCCAATCTTTCATAGAACACCTGTTCTATGAGACTCAACTTATCCCCCGCCCTTCATATACAGAATTCCTGTTCTATGAATGTCCAAATGCGTCACATCTCCATCCTTCATAGAACACCTGTTCCATGAGACCCAACTATCCGCCACCCCTTCTATACAGAATTCCTGTTTCTATGAGAGTCAAATACCCATATCCCAATCTTTCATAGAACACCTGTTCTGAGACTCAACTTATCCCCCCGCCCTTCATATACAGAATTCCTGTTCTATGAATGTCCAAATGCGTCATCTCCATCCTTCACAGAACACCTGTTCCATGAGACAACTATCCGCCACCTTCTATACAGAATTCCTGTTCTATGAGAGTCAAATGCCGCATATCCAATCTTTCGCAGAACACCTGTTCTATGAGACTCAACTTATCCCCGCCCTTCATATACAGAATTCCTGTTCTATGAATGTCAAATGCGTCACATCTCCATCCTTCATAGAACACCTGTTCCATGAGACCCAACTATCCGCCACCCCTTCTATGCAAATTCCTGTTCTATGAGAGTCAAATGCCACATATCCAATCTTTTCATAGAACACCTGTTCTATGAGACTCAACTTATCCCCCCCGCCCTTCATATACAGAATTCCCTGTTCTATGAATGTCAAATGCGTCACATCTCCATCCTTCATAGAACACCTGTTCCATGAGACCCAACTATCCGCCACCCTTCTATACAGAATTCCTGTTCTGCCAGTCAAATGCCATATCCCAATCTTTCATAGAACACCTGTTCCTATGAGACTCAACTTATCCCCCCGCCCTTCATATACAGAATTCTGTTCTATGAATGTCAAATGCGTCACATCTCCATCCTTCATAGAACACCTGTTCATGAGACCCAACTATCCGCCACCCCTTCTATACAGAATTCCTGTTCTATCAAAGATATCCCAACTTTATCTGTTCTATGAGCCATCCCCCTTCTCATATATAGAATTCCTGTTCTATGAATGTCAAAATGCGTCACATCTCCATCCTTCATAGAATCTGTTCCATGAGACCCAACTATCCGCCACCCTTCTATACAAATTCCTGTTCTATGAGCCACATATCCCAACTTTCAGAACACCTGTTCTATGAGACTCAACTTATCCCCCGCCCTTCATATACAGAATTCCTGTTCTATGAATGTCAAATGCGTCACATCTCCATCCTTCATAGAACACCTGTTCCATGAGACCCAACTATCCGCCACCCCTTCTATGCAAATTCCTGTTCTATGAGAGTCAAATGCCGCATATCCCAATCTTTCATAGAACACCTGTTCTATGAGACTCAACTTATCCCCGCCCTTCATATACAGAATTCCTGTTCTATGAATGTCAAATGCGTCACATCTCCATCCTTCACAGAACACCTGTTCCATGAGACCCAACTATCCGCCACCCCTTCCCCAAGAATTCCTGTTCTATGAGAGTCAAATGCCGCATATCCCAATCTTTCATAGAACACCTGTTCTATGAGACTCAACTTATCCCCGCCCTTCATATACAGAATTCCTGTTCTATGAATATCAAATGCGTCACATCTCCATCCTTCACAGAACACCTGTTCCATGAGACCCAACTATCCGCCACCCCTTCTACAGAATTCCTGTTCTATGAGAGTCAAATGCCATATCCCAATCTTTCATAGAACACCTGTTCTATGAGACTCAACTTATCCCCCCGCCCTTCATACAAATTCCTGTTCTATGAAGATATCAAATGCGTCACATCTCCATCCTCCATAGAACACCTGTTCCATGAGACCAGAACTTATCCGCCACCCCCTTCTATCTAGAATTTGTTCCATGAGAGTCAAAATGCCACATATCCTAATCTTTCATAGAACACCTGTTCATGAGATCATAACTTATCCCCCTGCCTTTTATATACAGAATCCTGTTCTATGAAGTCAAAATGTACAGATTCCATCCTTCCATAGAACACCTGTCCAAAAGAGACCCAACACATCCGCCACCCTTCTATACAGAAACCTGTTCTATGAGAGTCAAATGCCACATATCCTAAATCTTTCATATGGAATACCCGTTCCATGAGACCCAACTTATCCCCCTGGCCCTTCATATACAGAATTCCTGTTCTATGAATGTCAAATGCGTCACATTCCATCCTTCATAGAACACCTGTCCCATGAGACCCAACCATCCGCCACCCCCATAGAATTCTTGTTCATGAGAGTCAAATGTTGCATATCCTGTTCTTTCATAGAACATTCCTGTTCAAATATGAGACTCAACTTATCCCCGCCCTTCATATACAGAATTCCTGTTCTCAAATGAATGTCAAATGCGTCACATCTCCATCCTTCATAGAACACCTGTTCCATGAGACCCAACTATCCCCCACCCTTCTATACAGAATTCTGTTCTATGCAAAGTCAAATTCTGTAGTCATATCCCAATCTTTCATAGAACACCTGTTCTGTGAGACTCAACTTATCCCCGCCCTTCATATACAGAATTCCTGTTCTATGAATGTCAATGCGTCACATCTCCATCTTCATAGAACACCTGTTCCATGAGACCCAACCATCCGCCACCCCTTCTATACAGAATTCCTGTTCTATGAGAGTCAAATGCCGCATATCCCAATCTTTTCACTTAGAACACCTGTTCTCAATGAGACTCAACTTATCCCCCGCCCTTCATATACAGAATTCTGTTCTATGAATGTCAAATGCGTCACATCTCCATCCTTCATAGAACACCTGTTCCATGAGACCCAACTATCCGCCACCCCTTCTATACAGAATTCCCTGTTCTATGAGAGTCAAATGCCACATATCCCAATCTTTCATAGAACACCTGTTCTATGAGACTCAACTTATCCCCCGCCCTTCATATGCAGAATTCCTGTTCTATGAATGTCAAATAAATCACATCTCCATCCTTCATAGAACACCTGTTCCATGAGACCCAACTATCCGCCACCCCTTCTATGAGACAGAATTCCTGTTCTATGAGAGTCAAATGCCACATATCCCAATCTTTCATAGAACACCTGTTCTATGAGACTCAACTTATCCCCCCGCCCTTCTTATACAGAATTCTGTTCTATGAATGTCAAATGCGTCCATCTCCATCCTTCATAGAACACCTGTTCTAATGAGACCAACTATCCGCCACCCTTCTATACAGAATTCCTGTTTCTGAAAGTCAAATGCCACATATCCCAATCTTTCATAGAACACCTGTTCAAGGAGACTCAACTATCCCCCGCCCTTCATATACAGAATTCTGTTCTATGAATATCCAAATGCGTCACATCTCATAGAACACCCCTGTTCCATTCAACTTAGACCCCTTCTACACAGAACCTGTTCTATTCAAATGTCACAGACCCAATCTTTATCTGTTCCATGAGACTCAATTCATCCCCCCCTTCTATACAGAATTCCTGTTCTGTGAGAGTCAAATGCCTCATCCCAATCTTTCATAGAACACCTGTTCTATGAGACTCAACTTATCCCCGCCCTTCATATACACAAATTCCTGTTCTATGAAATGTCAAATGCGTCACATCTCCATCCTTCACAGAACACCTGTTCCATGAGACCCAACTATCCGCCACCCCTTCTATACAGAATTCCTGTTCTATGAGAATCAAATGCCATAGAACATATCCCAATCTTTCATAGAACACCTGTTCTATGAGACTCAACTTATCCCCGCCCTTCATATAGAATTCCTGTTCTATGAATGTCAAATGCGTCACATCTCCATCCTTCATAGAACAACACCTGTTCCATGAGACCCAACTATCCGCCACCCTTCTATACAGAATTCCTGTTCTATGAGAGTCAAATGCCACATATCCTAATCTTTTCATAGAACACCTGTTCTATGAGACTAACTTATCCCCCGCCCTTCATATACGGAATTCTGTTCTATGAATGTCAAATGTCACATCTCCATCCTTCACAGAACACCTGTTCAAGGAGACCCAACTATCTGCCACCCCTTCTATACAGAATTCCTGTTCTATGAGAGGTAAAATGCCATATCCTAGTCTTCATAGAACACCTGTTCTATGAGACTCAACTTATCCCCTTCTCATATACAGAATTCCTGTTCTTGAATGTCAAATGCATCCACATCTCCATCCTTCATAGAACACCTGTTCCATGAGGGCCAACTATCACTCCCCTTCTATAAGGAAATCCCTGTTTAAGGAGAGTCCAAATGCCGCATATCCCTAATCTTTCATAGAACACCTGTTCTATGAGACTAAACTTATCCCCCCTCCCTTCATATACAGAATTCCTGTTCCTGAACGTCAAATGTCACATCTCCATCCTTCACAGAAACACCCGTTCCATGAGACCCAACTATCCGCAAATTTCTGAGTACAGAATTCTGGGTTCTTGAGCAAATGCCGCATATCCCAATCTTCATAGAACACCTGTTCTTGGAGACTCAACTTATCCCCCTGCCCTTTATATATAGAATTCTGTTCCCCATGGAATGTCAAAATGCGTCACATCTCCATCCTCCGTAGAACACCTGTTCCATGAGACCTAACTATCGCAACCCCTTTCTAATATACAGAATTCTGGTTGTAATAGAGAGTCAAATGCCGTATATCCTAATCTTCATAGAACACCTGTTCTGTTCCATGAGAATAAAGATATCCCAATCTTCATCAACTTATCAACTTATCCCCCGCCCCTTCATATACAGAATTCCTGTTCTAGGAATGTCCAAATGCGTCACATCTCCATCCTTCATGAACACCTGTTCCAAGGAGACCCAACTATCTGCCACCCCTTCTATTCAGAATCCCTGTTCTATGAGAGTCAAATGCCACATATCCCAATCTTTCATAGAACACCTGTTCTAGAGACTCAACTTATCCCCCGCCTTCATATACAGAATTCTGTTCTATAGAATATCAAATGCGTCACATCTCCATCCTCATCAGTAGAACACCCTGTTCCATGAGACCCAACTATCCGCCACCTTCTATACAGAATTCTGCTCCCAAGGAGAGTCCAAATGCCACATATCCCAATCTTTCATAGAACACCTGTTCTATGAGACTCAACTTATCCCCTGCCCTTCATATACAGAATTCCTGTTCTATGAATGTCAAATGCGTCACATCTCCATCCTTCACTAGAACACCTGTTCCATGAGACCAACTTCATCTGCCACCCCTTCTATACAGAATTTCCTGTTCTATGAGAGTCAAATACATATCCCAATCTTTCTTAGAACACCTGTTCTATGAGACTCCAATGTCCCCCGCCCTTCATATACACAGAATTCCTGTTCTATGAATATCCAATCTCCATGCGTCCACCTGTTCCCATGAGACCCCATCCCTTTCATAGAACACCTGTTCACAGAACTATCCGCCACCCTTGGGTTCTATGAGAGTCAAATGCCACATATCCCAATCTTTCATAGAACACCTGTTCTATGATTTCAACTTATCCCCTGCCCTTCATATACAGAATTCCTGTTCTAGAATGTCAAATGTCACATCTCCATCCTTCCAGAACACCTGTTCCATGAGACCCAACTATCCGCCACCCTTCTATAAGCAGAATTCTGTTCTATGAGAGTCAAATGCCACATATCCTAATCTTTCATAGAACACCTGTTCTAATATTCAATCTTTATCCTCTCTCGCTTTTCCCACACATATACAGAATTCTGTTCTATGAATGTCAAATGCGTCACATCTCCATCCTCTCACAAGAAATAATTCGTCCATGAGACCCAACTATCTGCCACCCCTTCTATACAAGTAGAATTCTGTTCTGCTGAGAGTCAAAATGCCGTATATCTCTAATCTTCAGAACACCCGTTCTGTTGAGACTCAACTTTATCTCTGCCGTTCATATACAGACCCTGTTCTATGAATGCCAAATGCACACATTCTATCCTCTCAGTAGAACACTCCACCTGGTTGGAGGACCTAAATCATCCGCCACCCTCTATACAGAATTCTTGTTCTATGAGAGCCAAATGTCGCATATCCTAATCTTCACAGAACACCTGTTCTATGAGACTCAACTTATCCGCGCCTTTCATATACAGAATTCCTGTTCTATGAATGTCAAATGCGTCACATCTCCATCCTTCATAGAACACCTGTTCCATGAGACCTAACTATCCGCCACCCCTTCTATACAGAATTCCTGTTCTATGAGAGTCAAATGCCTATATCCTAATCTTTCATAGAACACCTGTTCTATGAGACTCAACTTATCCCCGCCCTTCATATACAGAATTCCTGTTCTATGAATGTCAAATGCGTCACATCCACATCCTTCACAGAACACCTGTTCCATGAGACCCAACTATCCGCCAACCCTTCTATACAGAACACCTGTTCTATGAGAGTCAAATGCCACATATCCCAATCTTTCATAGAACACCTGTTCTATGAGACTCAACTTATCCCCCCGCCCTTCACATACAGAATTCCTGTTCTAGGAATATCAAAATGCGTCACATCTTCATCCTGCCCAGAACACCTGTTCCATGAGACCTTCCATCCACACCCCTTCTATAACAGAAATTCCTGTTCTATGAGTCAAATACCCACATATCCCAATCTTTTCATGAGAACACCTGTTCTATGAGACTCAACTTATCCCCCGCCTCATATGCAAATTCCTGTTCACCCATGAATGTCCAAATGCGTCACATCTCCATCCTTCATAGAACACTGTTCCATGAGACCCATCTATCCACCACCCCTTCTATACAGAATTCCTGTTCTATGAGAGTCAAATGCCACATATCAATCTTTCATAGAACACCTGTTCTATGAGACCAACTTATCCCCCGCCTTCATATGCAGGAATTCGTTCTATGAATGTCAAATGCGTCACATTCCATCCTTCATAGAACACCTGTTCCATGAGACCCAACTATCCGCCACCCTTCTATACAGAATTCCTGTTCTATGAGAGTCAAATACCACATATCCCATCTTTCATAGAACGTCTGTTCTATGACTCAATCATCCCCAGCCCTCTTTAGCATACAGAATTCCTGTTCTATGAATGTCAATGCGTCACATCTCCATCCTTCATAGAACACCTGTTCCATGAGACGCAACTATCCGCCACCCCTTCTCTATACAGAATTCCTGTTCATGGAGTGTCAAATGCCACATAACTCCAATCTTCATAGAACACCTTTCATTAGACTCAACTTATCCCCCGCTCCTTTTCTATATACAGAATTCCTGTTCTATGAATGTCAATGTCACATCTACATCCTTCATAGAACACCCTGTTCCATGAGACCCAAATATCCGCCACACCCCTTCTATACAGAATTCTGTTCTGAGTCAAATGCCGCATATCCTAATCTTTCAGAACACCTGTTCTATGAGACTCAACTTATCCTGCCTTCATACATACAGAATTCTGTTCCATGAAGTCAAATGCGTCACATCTCCATCCTACACAGAACACCTGTCTGTTGATAACCAACTATCTGCCTACACCCTCTATACAGAATCTTCGTTCTATGGAGAGTCAAATGCCGTTCATATCTCAATCTTCATAGAACACCTGTTCTATGAGACTCAACTTATCCTGCCCTTCATATACAGAATTCTGTCTTATGAATGTCAAATGTCACATTCCATCCTTCAGTAGAACACCTGCCCCATGAGACCCAACCATCCGCCACCCCTTCTATACAGAATTCTGTTCTATAAGAGTCAAAATGCCGCATATCCCAATCCTTCTTAGAACACCTGTTCTATGAGACTTAACTTATCCCCGCCCTTCATATACAGAATTCTGTTCTATGAATGTCAAAATGCGTCACATCTCCATCCTTCACAGAACACCCGTTCCATGAGACCCAACTATCCGCCACCCTTCATACAGAATATGAGAGTCAAATGTTTATAGAATCTTCATAGTTCTATGAGACTCAAATCTCTGCCCTTCATATACAGAATTCTGTTCTATGAATCTTTCACATCTCCATAGAACACCTGTCTCCATGAGACCCAACTATCCGCCACCCCTTCCTATACAGAATTCCTGTTCTGAGAGTCAAATGCCGCATATCCCAATCTGCATAGAACCCCTATGAGAATGTGCCCAAATACAGAATTCTGTTCTATGAATGTCAAATGCGTCACATCCCCATCCTTCATAGAACACCTGTTCCATGAGAGACCCAACTATCTGCCACCCTTCTATACAGAATTCCTGTTCTATGAGACAAATGCCACATATCCCAATCTTCATAGAACACCTGTTCTATGAGACTCAACTATCCCCGCCTTCATATACAGAATTCCTGTTCTATGAATGTCAAATGCGTCACATCTCCATCACAGAACACCTGTTCCATGAGACCCAAATACACCTATACAGTTCCTAAGGAGAGTCAAACCAACTATCCGCCATAGAACACCTGTTCTAGGAATCAGAATACAGAATTCTGGGTTCTATGAGTCAACGCGTCATATCTCCATCCTTCATAGAAATGTTCCATGAGTCCAACTATCTGCCAACTTCAGAATTCCTGTTCTATGAGAGTCAAAAATGCCACATATCCCAATCTTTCATAGAACACCTGTTCTATGAGACTCAACTTATCCCCGTCCTTCTACATATACAGAATTCTGTTCTATGAATGTCAAATGCGTCACATCTCCATCCTTCACAGAACACCTGTTCCATGAGAGACCCAACTATACAGAATCCGCCAAATGCCGTATATCCTTCTATCAACAGAATTCCTGTTCTATGAATGTCAAATGCGTCAAATCCTTCAGAACACCTTGTTTAATTTTCATACAGAACCTATGAGAGAGCCTGCCACATATCTCAATGAGGATTCTATGAGACTTTATCCCCCGCCCTTCATATATACAGAATTCCTGTTCTATGAATGTCAAATGCGTCACATCTCCATCCTTCAGAACACCTGTTCCATGAGACCCAACTATCCGCCAATACTCTTATACAGAATTCTGTTCTATGAGACAATGCCACATATCTAATCTTTCATAGAACATTTATGAGACTCAACTTATCCTGCCCTTCATATATGAGAATTCTGTTTATGAATGCCAAACATATCCTTCATAGAACACCTTTCATGAGACCCAACTATCCGCAACCCTTTCTATACAGAGTTGGATTCAAATCATATCCCAATCTTTCATAGAACACCTGTTCTATGATACTCAACTATCCCTGTGTTCTATGAATGTCAAATGCGTCACATCTCCATCCTTCATAGAACACCCGTTCCATGAGACCCAACTACATCCGCCACCCCTTCCATACAGAATTCCTGTTCCATGAGAGTCAAATATCTCAATCTTCATAGAACACCTGTTCTATGAGTACAGAATTCTGGTTCTATGAATGTCAAATTACATTCCATCATATAGAACACCTGTTCCATGAGACCCAACTATATCCTTCTGTTCCCTTATATCCTAATCTTTCATAGAACACCTGTTCTATGAGATTCAACTTATGCCCTTCATATACAGAATCTCTGTTCTAGGAATGTCAAATGTCACATCTCCATCCTTCATAGAACACCTGTTCCATGAGACCCAACTATCCGCCACCCCTTCCATACAGAATTTTGTTCTAAGGAGAGCCAAATGCCGCATATCCCAATTCCTTCTTAGAACACCTGTTCTATGAGACTCAACTTATCCCCCGCCCCTTCATATATACAGACCTTGTCTATGAATTCAAATGCGTCACATTCTCCATCCTTTCATAGAACACCTGTTCCATGAGACCCAACTATCCGCCACCCTTCTATACAGAATTCCTGTTCTATGAGAGTCAAATGCCACATATCCCAATCTTTCATAGAACTTACCTGTTCTATGAGACATTCAACTTATCCCCCATGCCCCCTTCATATACAGAATTCCTGTTCTATGAATGTCAAAACATCTCCATCCTAGAAATGCATGAGTCAACTTATCCCCGCCCTTCATATACAGAATTCCTGTTCTATGAGAAGTCAAATGCGTCACACCATCTTTCACAGAACACCTGTTCCATGAGACCCAACTTACCCTGCCCTTCATATACCTGTTCTATGAATGTCAAATGCCCATTCCATCCTTCATAGGAACACCTGTCTATGAGACCAACTTATCTGCCCCTTCATATACAGAATTCTGTTCTATGAGTCAAATGCCACATATAAATCTTCATAGAACACCTGTCCCTATGAGACCCAACTACACTTCATATACAGAATTCTGTTCTATGAATGTCAAATGCCACAACTTATCTTCATAGAACACCTGGTTCCATGAGACTCCAACTTAACTGCGCCCCCTTCTATACAGAATTCCTGTTCTATGAATGTCAAATGTCATATCTCCATCCTTCATAGAACACCTGTTCCATGAGACCCAACTATCCGCCGCCCTTCTATATACAGAATTCTGTTCTATGAATGTCAAATGCCGCATATCTCCATCTTTCATAGAACACCTGTTCTATGAGACCTCAACTTATCCCCAATTCCTTCATATACAGAATCCTGTTCTATGAATGTCAAATGCGTCACATATCCATCTTTCATAGAACACCTGTTCCATGAGACCCAACTATCGCCGCCCCATATACAGAATTCCTGTTCTATGAGAGTCAAATGCCGCATATAAGCCATCCTTCACAGAACACCTGTTCCATGAGACCCAACTATCCCCGCCCTCATATACAGAATTCTGTTCTATGAAGTCAAATGTCACATCTCCATCCTTCCAGAACATTACCTTTCATAGAACACCTGTTCTAAGGAGACCCAACTTATCCGCCCTTCATATACAGAATTCCTGTTCTATACAGAAATGCGTCCATCTCCATCCTAAGGATGAGACCCAAATGCCACCCTTCTATACAGAATTCGTTCTATGAGAGTCAAATCTTTCAATTTTAGAACACCTGTTCTAATGAGACTCAACTTATCCCCCTTCATCATACAGAATTCCTGTTCTATGAATGTCAAATGCGTCACATCTCCATCCTTCATAGAACACCTGTTCCATGAGACCCAACTATCCGCCACCCCTTCTATACAGAATTCTGTTCTATGAGAGTCAAATGCCACATATCTCAATCTTCATAGAAAGCCCTGTTCTATGAGACTCAACTTATCCCCTGCCCCTTCATATATACAGAATTCTGTTCTATGAATGTCAAATGCGTCACATCTCCATCCCTTCATAGAACACCTGTTCCATGAGACCCAAATATCCGCCAAATTCTTCTATACAGAATTCCTGTTCTATGAGAGTCAAACAAGGATCCCAATCTTCACAGAACACCTGTTCTATGAGACTCAACTTATCCCCCCGCCCTTCATATACAGAATCTCTGTTCTATGAATGTCAAATGTCACATCTCCATCCTTCATAGAACACCTGTTCCATGAGACCCAACTATCCGCCACCCCTTCTATACAGAATTCTGTTCTATGAGAGTCAAATCATGTTCTTTCATAGACAGTCAACTTAAATGCTGTTCTATATCCTAATCTCCATCCTCCACAGAACACCTGTTCTATGAGACCAACATCCGCCAACTTTATCCCCCCATATCCCCTTTCATAGAACACCTGTCTTCTGAGAACTTATCCCCGCCCTTCATATGAATGTTCCCATGAATGTCAAACATCTCCATCCTTCATAGAACACCCGTTCCATGAGACCCAACTATCTGCCACCCTTCTATACAGAATTCCTTGTTTCATGAGAGTCAAATGCCACATATCCCAATCTTTCATAGAACACCCGTTCCATGAGACTCAACTTATCCCCCGCCCCCTTCATATACAGAATTCTGTTCTATGAATGTCAAATGTCACATCTCCATCCTTCATAGAACACCTGTTCCATGAGACCCAACTATCCGCCACCCCTGTTCTATGAGAGTCAAATGCCACATAGAATCTTTCATAGAACACCTGTTCTATGAGAGAGTCAAAATGCCAAATATCCCAATTCTCCATCCTTCATAGAACACCTGTTCCATGAGACTCAACCCTTCTATATCCCCTATGAGAGCCGTTCAATATACAGAATAACTTATCCTGTTCATATACAGAATTCTGTTCTATGAATGTCAAATGCGTCACATCTCCATCCTTCACAGAACACCTGTTCCATGAGACCCAACTATCCGCCACCCCTATACTTCTGTATATGAGACAAAGAATTCTGTTCTATGAGAGTCAACTTTATCCCCGCCCTTCATATACAGAATTCGTTCTATGAATCCGTAATCCTTCATAGAACACCTGTTCCATGAGACCCAACTATCCGCCAAATTCTTCTAACAGAACCTGTTCTATGAGACCATCTTTATCCCTGTTCTATGAGCCCTTATTCATACAGAATTCCTGTTCTATGAATGTCAATGCGTCACATCTCCATCCTTCACAGAACACCTGTTCCATGAGACCCAACTATCCGCCAATTCTCTATACAGAATTCTGTTCTATGAGAGTCAAATGCCGCATATCCCAATTCTTCATAGAAGACCTGTTCTATGAGACTCAACTTATCCCCCGCTCCTTCATATACAGAATTCTGTTCTATGAATGTCAAATGTCACATCTCCATCCTTCACAGAACACCTGTTCCATGAGACCCAACTATCCGGCCACCCCTCTTCTATATACAGAATTCCTGTTCTATGAGAGTCAAATGCCGCATATCCCAATCTTTCATAGAACACCTGTTCTAAGGAGACTCACTTATTGCCCTTCATATACAGAATTCTGTTCTAAGGAATGTCAAATGTCACTTCCATCTTCATAGAACACCAGAGACATGAGATCTATCCGCCACCCTCTATACAGAATTTCTGTTCTATGAGAGTCAAAATGCCATCAATCTTCATAGAACACCTGTTCTATGAGACCCAACTTATCCCCCCCCATATACAGAATTCTGTTCTATGAATGTCAAATGCGTCACATCTCCATCCTTCATAGAACACCTGTTCCATGAGACCCAACTATCTGCCAATTCTCTTCTATACAGAATTCCTGTTCTATGAGAGTCCGATATCTCAATCTTCATAGAACACCTGTTCTATGAGACTCAACTTATCCCCGCCCTTCATATACAGAATTTGTTCTATGAATGTCAAAATATGTCACATTCCATCCTTCATAGAACACCTGTTCCATGAGACCCAACCATCCGCCACCCCTTCTATACAGAATTCCTGTTCTATGAGAGTCAAATGCCACATATCCTAATCTTCATAGAACACCTGTTCTATGAGACTCAACTTATCCCCCTGCCCTTCATATACAGAATTCTGTTCTATGAATGTCAAATGTCATCTCCAAATGCGTCACATTCCCCCATCCTTCATAGAACACCTCTTTCCATCGTTCTATGAGACCCAACTATCCCCTGCTCCTTCATATACACCCTGTCTATACAGAATTCTCATAGTTCCAAGGAGAGTCAAATGCCACATAATCCCAATCAATTTTCATAGAACACCTGTTCTATTGAGACTCAACTTATCCCCTGCCCTTCATATACAGAATTTCTGTTCTATGAATGTCAAATGTCACATCTACATCCTTCATAGAACACCTGTTCCATGAGACCCAAATATCCGCCACCCCTTCTATACAGAATTCTGTTCTATGAGAGTCAAATGCTGCATATCCTAATCTTTCATAGAACACCTGTTCTATGAGACTCAACTTACCCCTGCCTTCATATACAGAATTCCTGTTCCATGAATGTCAAATGTGTCACATCTCCATCCTCATAGAACACCTGTTCCATGAGACCCAACTATCTGCCACCCCTTCTATACAGAATTCCTGTTCTATGAGAGTCAAATGCCACATTATCCTAATCAATCTTCATAGAACACCTGTTCCATGAGACCCAACTTATCCCCCGCCCCTTCATATACAGAATTCTGTTCTAAGGAATGTCAAATGCGTCACATTCCATCCTTCAGAACACCTGTTCCATGAGACCCAACTATCCGCCACCCCTTCTATACAGAATTTCTGTTCCATGAGAGTCAAATGCCACATATCCCAATCTTTCATAGAACACCTGTTCTATGAGACCAAATATATCCCCCGCCCCTTCATATACAGAATTCCTGTTCTTTGAATGTCAAATGCGTCACATCTCCATCCTTCAGAACACCTGTTCCATGAGACCCAACTATCCACTCCTTCTATACAGAATTCCTGTTTTATGAGAGTCAAATGCCGCATATCTCAATCTTTCATAGAACACCTGTTCATAGAGAATTCCTGTTCTACAATGTCAAATGTCCTTTCTCCATCCTTCATATAGAACACCCGTTCCATGAAACCCAACTATCCGCCCTGTTCTATGAATGCCAAATGCCACATATCTCCATCCTTTCATAGAACACCTGTTCTATGAGACCCAAATCCCCTGCCCATATACAGAATTCATGTTCATACAAAGAATTCCATCCTTCATAGAACACCTGTTCCATGAGTCAAATACAGCCGCATGAGAGTCAAATGCCGTATATCCTTTCATAGAACACCTGTTCTATGAGACTCAACTTATCCCCCTGCCCTTCATATACAGAATTCCTGTTCTATGAATGTCAAAATGTCACATCTCCATCCTTCATAGAACACCTGGGTTCCATGAGACCCAACTATCCGCCAACCCTTCTATACAGAATTCCTGTTCTATGAGAGTCAAATGCCGCATATCCTAATATTTCATAGAACACCTGTTCTATGAGACTCAACTTATCCCCTGCCCTTCATATACAGAATTCTGTTCTATGAATGTCAAATGCGTCACATTCCATCCTTCATAGAACACCTGTTCCATGAGACCCAACTATCCGCCACCCCTTCTATACAGAATTCTTGTTCATGAGTGTCAAATGCCACATATCCCACCCTTTCAGAACACCTGTTCTATGAGACTCAAATCCCCCTGGGCCCTTCATATCCTGAATGTCAAATGCGTCACATCTCCATCCTTCATAGAACACACCTGTTCCATGAGACCCAAGACACCCATACAGAATCCATGAGAGTCAAATGCCCATATTCAATCTTTCATAGAACAACTATGAGACTCAACTTATCCCCAGCCCTTCATATACAGAATTCTGTTCTATGAATGTCAAATGCGTCACATCTCCATCCTTCATAGAACACCTGTTCCATGAGACCCAACTATCCGCCACCCCCTTCTATACAGAATTCTGTTCTATGAAGTCAAATGCCGCATATCTCAATCTTCATAGAACACCTGTTCTATGAGACTCAACTTATCCCCTGCCCTTCATATACAGAATCTCTGTTCTATGAATGTCAAAATGCGTCATCTCCATCCTCTCATAGAACACCTGTTCCATGAGACCCAACTATCCGCCACCCCCTTCTATACAGAATTCTGGGTTCTATGAGAGTCAAATGCCACATATCCCAATCTTTCATAGAACACCTGTTCTATGAGACTCAACTTATCCCCGCCCCTTCATATACAGAATTCTGTTCTATGAATGTCAAATGCGTCACATCTACATCCTTCATAGAACACCTGTTCCATGAGACCCAAATATCCGCCACCCCTTCTATACAGAATTCTGTTCTATGAGAGTCAAATGCCACATATCCTAATCTTCATAGAACACCTGTTCTATGAGACTCAACTTTTATCCCCGCCCTTCATATACAGAATTCCTGTTCTATGAATGTCAAATGCGTCACATCTCCATCCTTCATAGAAACACCTGTTCCATGAGACCCAACTATCCGCCACTCTATACAGAATTCTGTTCCATGAGAGTCAAATGCCATATATCCCCTTCATAGAACACCTGTTCTATGAGATACTTAGCCCTTCATATACAGAATTCTGTTTATGAATGTCAAATGCGTCACATCTCCATCCTTCATAGAACACCTGTTCCATGAGACTTAACCATCCGCCACCCCTTCTATACAGAATTCCTGTTCTATGAGAGTCAAATGCCGCATATCCAATCTTTCATAGAACACCTGTTCTATGAGACTCAACTTATCCCCTGCCCTTCATATACAGAATTCTGTTCTATGAATGTCAAAATGTCACATCTCCATCCTTCACAGAACACCTGTTCCATGAGACCCAACTATCCGCCAATTCTTCTATACAGAATTCCTGTTCTAAGGAGAGTCAAATGCCGCATATCCCAATCTTTCATAGAACACCTGTTCTATGAGACTCAACTTTATCCCCCCTCCTTCATATACAGAATTCTGTTCTATGAATGTCAAATGCGTCACATCTCCATCCTTCATAGAACACCTGTTCCATGGAGACCCAACTATCCGCCACCCCTCTCTATACAGAATTCTGTTCTATGAGAGTCAAATGCCGCATATCCTAATCTTTCATAGAACACCTGTTCTATGAGACTCAACTTATCCCCGCCCTCATATATACAGAATTCCTGTTCTATGAATGTCAAATGCGTCACATCTCCATCCTTCATAGAACACCTGTTCCATGAGACCCAACTATCCGCCACCCCTTCTATACAGAAATCTGTTCCAGGAGAGTCAAATGCCACATATCCCAATCTTTCATAGAACACCTGTTCTATGAGACTTAACTTATGCCCTTCATATACAGAATTCCTGTTCTATGAATGTCAAATGTCACATCTCCATCCTTCATAGAACACCTGTTCCATGAGACCCAACTATCATGCCACCCCTTCTATACAGAATTCTGTTCCAAGGAGAGTCAAATGCCGCATATCTGAATCTTTCATAGAACACCGGTTCATGAGACTCTAACTTATCCCCCTGCCCTTCATATACAGAATTCTGTTCTATGAATGTCAAACACACACATCTCCATCCTTCATAGAACACCTGTTCCATGAGACCCAACTATCCGCCACCCCTTCTATACAGAATTCCTGTTCTATGAGAGTCAAATGCCTATATTATCCCAATCTTTCATAGAACACCTGTTCTATGAGACTCAACTTATCCCCGCCCTCATATACAGAATTCCTGTTCTTTGTCGTCAAATGCGTCACATCTCCATCCTTCATAGAACACCTGTTCCATGAGACCCAACTATCCGCCACCCCTTCTATACAGAATTCTGTTCTATGAGAGTCAAATGCCGTATATCCCAATCTTCATAGAACACCTGTTCTATGAGACTCAATCTTATCCCCTGCCCTTCATATACAGAATTCTGTTCTATGAATGTCAAATGTGTCACATCTCCATCCTTCATAGAACACCTGTTCCATGAGACCCAAATATCCGCCACCCCTCTCTATACAGAATTCCTGTTCTATAAGAGTCAAATGCCGCATATCCCAATCTTTCATAGAACACCTGTTCTATGAGACTCAACTTATCCCCAGCCACTTCTGTTCTATGAATGTCAAATACAGAATTCACAGAACACCTGTTCTATGAGACCCAAATCCGTCAAATGCTAAGGAGAGTCACGTATATCCATCCTTCATAGAACACCTGTTCCATGAGACCCAACTTATCCCCCTGCCATTCTGTTCTATGAATGTCAAATGCGTTCTATACAGAATTCCTGTTCTATGAGAGTCAAATGCCACATATCCCAATCTTTCATAGAACACCTGTTCTATGAGACTCAACTTATCCCCCTGCCCTTCATATATACAGAATTCTGTTCTATGAATGTCAAATGCGTCACATCTCCATCCTTCATAGAACACCTGTTCCATGAGGACCCAACCATCCGCCACCCCTTCTATACAGAATTCCTGTTCTATGAGAGTCAAATGCCACATATCCCAATCTTCATAGAAACCTGTTCTATGAGACTAACTTATCCCCTGTTCATATACAGAATTCCTGTTCTATGAAGTCAAACGTCACATTCCATCCTTCATCTGTTCCATGAGACCCAACTATCGCCACACCTTCTATACAGAATTCCTGTTCTATGAGAGTCAAATGCCACATATCCCATCCTTCATAGAACACCTGTTCTATGGGAGACTCAACTTATCCCCTGGCCCTTCATATACAGAATTCTGTTCTATGAATGTCAAATGTCACATATCTCCATCCTTCACAGAACACCTGTTCCATGAGACTTAACTATCCGCCACCCCTTCTATACAGAATTCTCTGTTCCTATGAGAGTCAAATGCGTCACATACTCAATCCTTCATAGAACACCTGTTCTATGAGACTCAACTTATCCCCTGCCCTTCATATATACAGAATTCCTGTTCTATGAATGTCAAATGCGTCACATCTCCATCCTTCATAGAACACCTGTTCCATGAGACCCAACTATCTTATCCCCTTCTATACACAGAATTCCTGTTCTATGAGAGTCAAAATGTCGCATATCCCACCTTCATTGTTCTATGAATCAACTTATCCCCCGCCGTTCATATACAGAATTCCTGTTCTATGAATGTCAAATGCGTCACATCTCCATCCTTCATAGAACACCTGTTCCATGAGACCCAACTATACGCCACCCTTCTATACAGAATTCCTGTTCTATGAGAGTCAAATGCCACATATCTCCAATCTTTCATAGAACACCTGTTCTATGAGACTCAACTTATCCCCGCCCTTCATATACAGAATTCCTGGTTCTATGAATGTCAAATGCGTCACATCTACATCCCCAGAACCTGTTCCATGAACCAAATATCCGCCACTTCTATACAGAATTCTGTTCTATGAGAGTCAAATGCCACATATCCCAATCTTTCATAGAACACCTGTTCTATGAGACTCAACTTATCCCCCTGCCCTTCATATACAGAATTCTGTTCTATGAATCCAAATGTGTCACATCCATCCTTCACAGAACACCTGTTCCATGAGACCCAACTCCCCAACCCTTTCTATACAGAATTCCTGTTCTATGAGAGCTGTAAATGCATATATCCAATCTTCATAGAACACCTGTTCTATGAGACTCCAACTTATCCTCCGCCCTTCATATACAGTCACATCTCCATTCCTGTTCCATGAGGAATGTCCAAGAATTCTGCTCCCATGACATTCCATCCCACATAGAACTGTTCCATGAGAACACCTGTTCCATACAGAATTCCTGTTCTAAGGAGACTCAAACTTAACCCATAGAACACCTTCATGAGACAGAACTTATCCCCTGTCTTCATATACAGAATGTTCTAAATGCGTCACATTCTCCATCCTTCATAGAACACCTGTTCCATGAGACCCAATTATCCGCCACCCCTTCTATACAGAATTCCTGTTCTATGAGAGTCAAATGTTGCATATCCCAATCTTTCATAGAACACCTGTTCTATGAGACTCAACTTATCCCTGCCCTTCATATACAGAATCCTGTTCTATGAATGTCAAATGCGTCACATCTCCATCCTTCATAGAACACCTGTCCCATGAGACCAAATCCATCTGCCACCCTTCTATACAGAATTCCTGTTCTATGAGAGTCAAATGTTTATTATCCCAACCTTTTCATAGAACACCTGTTCTAAGGAGACTAACTTATCCCCTGCCCTTCATATACAGAATTCCTGTTCTATGAATGTCAAATGCGTCTACATCTCCATCCTTCACAGAACACCTGTTCCATGAGACCCAACTATCCGCCACCCCTTCTATACAGAATTCTGTTCTATGAGAGTCAAATGCATATCCCAATCTTTTCATAGAACACCTGTTCTATGAGACTCAACTTATCCCCCTGCCCCTTCATATATACAGAATTCTGTTCTATGAATGTCAAATGCGTCACATCTCCATCCTTCATAGAACACCTGTTCCATGAGACCCAACTATCTGCCACCCTTCTATACAGAAATTCTGTTCTATGAGAGTCAAATGCCAATATATCCTAATCTTTCATAGAACACCTGTTCTATGAGACTCAACTTATCCCCCGCCCTTCATATACAGAATTCTGTTCTATGAATGTCAAATGCGTCACATCTCCATCCTTCATAGAACACCTGTTCCATGAGACCCAACTATCCGCCACCCCTTCTATACAGAATTCTGTTCTATGAGAGTCAAAATGCCGCATATCCCAATCTTTCATAGAACACCTGTTCTATGAGACTCCAACTTATCCCCGCCGTTCATATACAGAATTCTGTTCTATGAATGTCAAATGCGTCACACATCTCCATCCTTCACAGAACACCTGTTCCATGAGACCCAACTTATCCGCCACCCCTTCTATACAGAATTCCTGGTTCTATGAGACAAACACCCTTTCATAGAACAATGAGTTTATTCTTCATATACAG